AACAGAAGAAGCCTTATTTTTTTTCTTTTTTTATTTTTATATATTTTTTAGAAGCCTTATTTTTAAAATCACTAGCTTTAAAGAAATTATCATTTTTCAAATTTTATTTGCCACAAAAATCATGACAAATTATACAAGTAACAGAATACACTAAATTTCCCTAGATTAAAAAATGCAAATACATGGCTGAAAGGATTTCAATGTAAAACAAGACAAAAGAAAAAACCACAGGCTTCGCATAGTAGTGAAATTAAACTTAAAATATGCTATCTTTAATAAATCTAAAATGAATTATAGTACATTTACTGTTAAGGTGTAGGTGGTATAGTTCTAGAACACTTTTGCCTTACAGTTAAAAGTCTTCATTTTATAGCCTCTGAAGAGACACAGAAATAATGAATAATATAAAAGGAAACTTGTACCACTTGGGCATGGACCAGCATTATCTGGTCCATGGGAGCATGATCCACACAGTGGCAGAAGGGGGCAGTGCTGAGCTAAAAACACATGCAAGCTTTAATTGTTGCAGCAGGAGTTTTTCCTTCCCAGGCACTTTGGAATTGATCCCTACAGCCCTATAGATAAATAATATAAGAATCCAGCAATCTTTAAAGCTTTAGAATATGTTTATAAGGGATTTTGATAGAAAAATCAAGGATACTCTGAGTTTAACACACAGTACAGAGCATCATCACCCAACACCTGTGAAGATGGCTCCCAGAGACCAGGGATACAAAGCAATACATCAGAAGATTTCAAAGAGACCAGTAGAAGTACCATGTAGCTTACCATTCATCGGGCGAGCACCCATAATCCTCAGGTTCAGGGACATGGCTTCAGGAGGAGGGACAGAAAGAGAGGGAAAAGTAATCACAGAAAGGCTGGAAACATAAAACCATGGAAGAGGAAAGTGCTGAGAGGCGGGTTTCTAGAAAGTTAAGAAAATGAACGTTTAGTTGGAGCTGGAAGAATGGCAGTTAGTACAGGGAGAACATGAGGATTTATGGTAATCGGGTAGATATACAAAGGTACCTCATACCCCAGAATTGATCGATGCATAGAAGTCAAAACTTAGTAATGAATATGTTTAAGTTTAGCTGTTTAAATATATGCTATAAAGCCAGTAGTAAGCCCATCATTTATATTTATAACTGTAAAAATGTGTTTCAGTGATACACACATGCTAGTCACCTGGGGCACAGTCACACAGAAAAAAAATCTGTTGTATATTTTTCAGGAAGCTTTGACTGCCTTGACACAGTAACTTCCTAAGAGGCTAATGAGAGTAAAAGTTAACTGTATTTGTTTGACTAAATGGAGCCACTGATATTCAAAATGGTCCACCCATCAAATAGCTTTTAACCTTAAAAAAAAAAAGTTTTCATCACTACTTTAATTTTATCCACTAGCCCATGGAAGCATGGGGAAGGATCCTTTGGCACAGTTCACAGGACACCTGGCATACATGTCAGGGTAGATTCTATTTCCTGATTCTTTTATTTCATATGATAGTTCAATATTTTCACTTTCATTTAGACTATTATATGCAGGAAGAGTTTAAAATGCGGAGATTGTTTTTTGACAAGTATAATACGCTGCTCAAAACTTAAAGAAGTCATTAACATCCTAAATAACTACCCGCTCTTTGAACCTGTCACAACAAGGTCTTCTACCTCCAACATATTAAGTTTCCTTCAGGGACAAACAACAATCACAGCAAAAGGGATCCCCAGAGCTCACTGCTCTTGCTTGTCAAAGGCTTGTGTTTACTGTTTAAGAGGAAGGACTCACCCTGGCCATCTGAGGCTAGATTACTACGAAAGAGGCTAGCCTATGGCAATGTGTCATGGAAACAGGCTGTAGCCACAGGGACACTCACTTGTGATTACCCTCAAGGTATGAGTCCCAGCTCCTGGACTGGACTGTCCCTGGGAAAGCTGGTAACTGTCCAAGCAATGAACACGGCAAGAAGGTCCCTGCCAGCTTGCATTGGTATTGGGCCTCTGCTCACGGTTTCACACCAGCACTGGACCTAATGCTTCCTAAGGCTTAATAATCCCGAGGCTTAACAGCCCCAGAGCTCCAGGGTTACAATGCCTTCCCCTGAGTCTGGTACAGCCCAGGCAGAAGCTAAGTACCATCTAGAGGGTGGTGAGCAGCAGGTAACTTGTTTGTATGAGTTCCCACGATTGCAGCTTGGCAGCTCTGGTGTTGGCCAGCTATCTGGCTACTGGCCCAGGGACCAGACATGCCAGTGTGGTCACATTTTCGCGGGAGTTCACTTAAATTCATTCTCAGATCTGGGCTCTCGGATCACTCTGTCAGGAACTGACCCTTGACTTTACTCATTAGACTACTTCGTTTCATCTGAGGCTCATGCTGCCTCTTGCCTCATATCAAGACGACTGTTGTATGATAATTAATTAATATCTATTAACCCCAGTTAGACTGTGAACTCTGAGTGGGAAGCATGCAAACTCTGCCTGATTAGGTTTCCACTACCTAACCAAGAGCCACCCGCCTACACACCTACTGGCTGTAATCTAGTCCTTGGGGCTAGGTGTATGGTAACTGAAGATTTTCCTGGTGAGTCTCTCCTCAGGTTTGTAGGATTAGTTATCCTCCATCAAACACACATTTGTAAACAAAACCTGCCATGTAAGCTATTGACAGACTGTACTCAGTATGGACACAGCTTGTTTTTAAGAATCTTATTTGTTTCACTAATCAAATGTCTGGTCCCATGAAATAAAAATAAAATAACAATATCAAAAAGAGTCATTTGGGTTGTTTAATAGACTGTTCTTGCTGCCCCAGAGCTAGTATAGACTAAATTGCTAACATACGGGATATAAGGAAAAAAGGATTCAAATCTTCACAGCATAGAGAACCCTAGCTTGTGAACAGAGAAGTTCTTATCTATTGCAGATATGCAACTGACTGTGATAAACACCAGCATTTCCATAGTGTATCCTGTCACATTGAGATTCTCCTAAAGGTTTAATAGTGTAATTTCTAGTTTGTAGCAAGATGAATTTACAAATATAACTTTATTTATATTTAATTACAACTTCCCCATAAGATGATCTAAGGGGGTAAAAAAAAAAACCCAGTAAGTTTAAACAGAGGCATCCCTATGACAAAACTGATTTCTGTGAAACAGTCATTGCTGACAACTGTGTATAAGTCTTGGAATTTCGTTGTCTGTCATGAAATTCAAAAAGGAAAAATTTGAGGCAAAGATGAGAGAGTCTTTATTAAAATTAAATTCTGAATGAAGCATTGGTGTTAAACATTCTATCCCTACAAAATCACTGGATACAGAAGACTAGCTAAAACTACACGGGTCCCTAGAGATTGTCTGGTGTTCCTCTTTCTTGAGTCCCACAGAGCTAAGAACATCTGAAAGGGAATTGTTTAAGGTCACATGAGGACATCTCAGACTCCATTTGTAAACAAAACCTGCCATGTGAACTACCGACAAGACTGTGTAGTCAGTATGGACACAGCTTGTTTTTAAGAATCTTCATTTGCTTACACTAATCAAGGGTCTGGTCTCACGAAATAAAAATAAAATAACAACAACGAGAAGAATCATTCAGGTTGCTTAATAGACTGTAGATATGGTAGAACTCTTCACCTTGTTCTTAAGAAATGTTCTCACAAGGACATTCATTTCCTTGACCATCTAACTGACAGGACAGACATTTGCTCAAACCCACCCTGTCCTCACACACTTGTGCTTTGAGGAGCTATCCACACACAAGGGAAGAGCTCTGCTTCTGCACATATGGCCAGGGGCAATTAAACCCACAAAGAGGAGCCTCTCCTATCTTTGGACTAGCCACGTGTACCCGTGTGTAAGCACTGATGTCAGAGGATGCGACCATGATCCTCCTGTGACTATGATTCTCCTGCTCCAGAGACAACTCTGGGGAGACTGGGGGAGAACAATTTTGTCGAAGAAGAGGCTTCAGATAAAGAAACAACACAACAAAACAAAAAAAACAAAAAACCCAAACCAAACAAACTCAGCAAACTTGAAAGTCATGTGTTCCTCTTAAATCTTTACGGTGTGGAAAAGCCATCCAACCAGGGTATCCGCAGGTTAAAACCATTTTTGAATCAAACTCTCTCCTGCCCTACTGGTGTCCCCTCCTGTTTGCAGACACTGCACGCAGGGATAATAATAAATCTAGTTGAAGATTTAATGCTCCTGCCCCCCAAGGTACTGCTTAAAGCTAAAGTGTGAATGAAAACAGTGGGTGCAAGCTGGACCAGCCTAAAGCAAAGCGTGATAAATCCGTAAGTATTTACTTGCCTCACTGAGGTAAGGAGAAATGCAAAATTTGCTGATAAGGCTCAGGCCACTCCACCAGAAGGAGGGTGTCTTTGAAGGTTTAAGTATGCACACCTACAATAAAAGGTAAACTAAATGGGTGCCACACCCAGTCTGAAGGACACTGTTCTCCAGATTGAAGATGTCCTTATCCCTCCCTTCATCCCACACCCAGAATTTTACATTGTTTTGTGTCGGCAAAGCGGAGACTTGACTAAAGATAAAGCCGGATGTGGGAGGTGGGGGTGGGTGGGTGGAAGGATCCTCAAAGCAATGGCAGTGTTACTTAAGACCTGACTGAGGCCTCCTCCAGCACTTCCTAACTTCCTCCTGACTTCAGGGCAGAGTGAAGGGAAATGGTTTGTCCTTATCACCAAGCCCAGATGGAGACCTTGCGGGGCCCTAAACCCCGAGAGATGAGACCGGTCAGTCAGCCTTTACCTGAAAACACTGAGAGACTGTCAGTCAGTCTCTACCTGATATCACAGTCCAAGGAAAGCAAGAACAACTGTAAAATACACAAACCATCCTGACAGAAAAAGAGCCACCTTCTAGATGAAAAGACAAAACCCGAACCCTCCTTGCACAAGAATTTCCAACTATTCCAATCAGATGGAATCAGATGTGTACTTCGTCCGCCGAGGTAAGGGAAAGCGCTCACCCGTAAGCCACGCCCGCGATGGTGCATTTCTTGAACTGCATCACATTGCACGTCAGGGTTCCGGTTTTGTCAGAAAATATGTATTTAACCTACAAACAAGTTTTAAATCCTCATTAATACTTCAAGGCTTTTAAAAGTCTATCTTGGGCCCTATGCATATCAAGCAAGTGCTCCACCTATGAACTAGATCCATCCTGCTCAGAAAACTTTTTCTATAGGAAAGAAAATGTATTTAAATTACACTTTCTTTAAAAGTCATCATTTTGTACTGTGGAGGTTTAGTGGCTGCCAGAATTGCTTTCAGTACATTCTTTACAGAACAACCCTGCTCTTTTAATATTTTAGCGATAAACCACTTTATAAATGTATATTAGTGTGGATTAGAGAAACTAGAGTCATAGAGAAATCGGCTTCAGATTATTCTGAATTTCCTCAGAAAGTGTCACTACTATTTTCAGACATACACAGTAGTAGGGACTCTCCAGCATATCTCAATATAAGAAGCTGTGCAGCTCACTTCAGACACCATCTAAATTGGTAAGGGGCAGTATAGTCTATCCTGAATGCAATTTGAATAGCATGAGTTGGAAAGTGGTGGAGGAGAAAACAAAAATCCTTTTTCAGCTAGCATCTGTGGATGGATTACAAATACACATATGTAATCACATGTCACCCCAAGGATGCTTTAGTTAATGAAGGATGCACATAGGATGTGGATGCCATAAAACTGTATCGCTTGTCTAGTGAGGTCATAGCCATCAGCCTGTGGAAGTGTGTTTTATCATGTTTACAGAATGATGACGTCACCCGACAGTCTTCAGATACACCCCGGATAAGTGATGGAAGGCTGTATACATGAATGAAGTGTCAGTTATAATTCTTATTTCTGTTTAACTATTCGACTAATTCAAGTTCCTATTTGACTAGATTCATACACTATGAACTTTTCCTTCCTTCTGGATAAAAGTTGTGAACAATTCTCTTGCTATTCCTATAAACTCAAAGGCAGTCAGTATTTCATGGCTAATCAGGCTACCTACTAAGAAGCATATCCAGGCTTGCATAGTATCTCGTCTTGAAAGAAAAATCTGCTTTAATGTTGGAAAACCCCACTATTAAATATGAACACTGTGTGTTGTGAATCAAAAAATGTATTTATGTGCATTATTCAAACAATGAAAAATGAGGAGATGCTACTTCATCACCGCATAAGGCAGAAATGATACCAAATCTCACTGCTGATTGAACACGCGTAAGAGCTTACCTGGCCAAGTTCCTCATTCAGATTCGATGTCCGAGCCATGGCTGCAGTGTCTGTGGGCTCATAACGCATGTCAAGATCCTACAAATAAGCAAGTGACATCACTGAATACAAGAGACTGGCGGACTGGGTCAGCAAAAGAAATAACATTGGGTTTTGCACTTCTCACAAGCCACCATTTGCCTCTGGAGTTCCGTGTCACCACTCTAGGTCCCTGCTAGCTCTACATGATTCTGTGTGGCTGTCCTGAAAAGTATGCAGCATGGAACGGTTTCCTTTTAGAAGAGGAGAGTATTGCACTGAGAGCTTGTCTGTGGGTGTTAAGAGAGTCTGTTTATTTCCGCTCTTCACTCCCCATAAGGTATCCTACTGTCGGGGTTAAACTATGTAATACACAGGAAACGATCCCTAGAGGGATATGCAGTAACTGTTTAGTGATCTTTGTTAGAAAATCAACTAATGGTTTTTTTTTTTCATAGTTAACTCTTCAGGCACCATGAAAAGTTATCTATGATATCACATCTGGTTGGACTCCCCAGGCTAAGCTTCTTGTAGTACAGATATTTGACAGTCAACCTCAAAAGAAATAGCCTTGCACCCGATAGCCATGATCTCATCCCATTACCCAACCCCATTATCTGAGGTTTTTTTTTTTATAGTAGAATACTATATTAAGTCAGGGCTGTAGTCTATTGAGTTTCATCTCTCTCCTATCTGTGCTCTGATCAATATCGTCTCTGGACGAGGCTTTGGGTTTACATGCTAGGTTGGAAAACACATTTGTCAAGTGAGTAGAGTCGAGAGACAAGAAGAGAGGGCTCACACAGAGACCAGTCTGGAAACCATGAAATGAAGACTATCTAGAGGAGCAGGGGGGTCTAAATCAGAGGGGCTGATATGACTGAGAACCGGCGTGATAGAACAGCTGAAGTTAAACATTTTCAAAGCCATCCTCAGAAATCCATACTGCACAAAAGGGCACCTAGCCAGAACTCGAATCCAGGAGACAGTTGCTAGTCTCTTCCACACAAGGAGGAAGCTGGCTTGTCAGGGCCATCACAAAGTCTGCTAGTTAGGAGGATGGTTGAAAGGCAAGAGCTTGCCAGGATTATTCAACACTGCCATTATGTAATTATTTGAAACAAATTCTATTTTTTGAAAATCTACATTGAAAAAATAAGGAACCTGAGTTGCCATTTGACCTTCAAGGTGCATTTGGCTTATTATACCTGTGAATGAGGGTCCTTCATGAACTTAACTGTACTTGTATACATGGCTTGACTCTTGGGCATACCATCCTTGTGTGAAAGTAATGTGTGAAAGTAAACTCTGCCTGCTGCTCGTTACACTGTCCTGAATTACACTGATCTTTCACCAAAGAAAAGGGCTGACATTTTCGAGAAATTGGTTACCACAAGAAGATAATGACCAGCTGCAAAACTATCTTTGCTTATATTGTTAAAATCCCAATACTGTTCATTTCCAAAGCTTTCAGATAAGTTTGGAACATACAAAGTAAAATCTAAGTTTCACAAAAAGAAAAATTCAACACTATGGCAGATAGTGACATCTTCAGGCCAGAAGATGTCATTTATAAAAAATTCAGTAATTATAACAAAGATAAAACGGAAAGAACAAAATGCCATTTGATGAAAAATACAGGAAACATGTTTAATCATCGCTCCAATATTAAAATCATCAATATAATAAGTCAAAAGGAAAAAAAACCAATGACGTCATTCACAGTGTCAAAAGAGAACTAGATGTCAGTCACACCGTCAAAGCACAGTTACATGCATGATTGTATATACAGTTCTTTGCTGTGCAAACAGATTCTTGAGCTGCACAAATATTGCAGGATTCAGGTAAAATATCTTGTCATCCCAACATTAGTGACCAGAAATTCAGTTCCAAGAAACCAAAAGACTAGACAAAGTTGTTTATGTGGTAAATTATGACAGTAGATCTATCAGAAATATACTTCAAATGCATGGTCTCCTTCCTCTACAGCCACTGTGGGACCCCAAACAGGTTTCCTGAATGAAAGATCAGTTTTCCTCAGGATATATGGTGTATCCATTTGCCTGATTCTGAGGAGAACGTGTTATAATTATACTGGTCTTAAAAAATACAACATAGTCAATTGAAACAACATATAATTAAGACTTCAAAAACAGTTTTTTAATGTCCACAGATCAAAAGATCATATCGGAGTAAATCTTTCAAAAGAGAAAATACAAACATAGGAAGATGACATATAATATAAGTTCGTATTTACCCAATTTATGAAGTATGCCTGGGTAAACTTCACCACTTCTAATGTAACCAACAAGCTGATGGGAATGAGATTGTTGAAAAGGATAATGAAAGTCAGGAAGTTCAGTCCAAAATTACTAGCGCCACCATCTGTTGGGGAGGAGGAAGAGCATCATTAATCGTTACCCTATCTGTGGTGATTAAACCGGAGGACAACAAGGTAGACAAACTATCTTGCTCATAACATAAATCTCGGTTCTCAAACACCTCCTTCAATGTAGAATTACAGTTCAGTTATATCTCCCTCTAGGGTCCCACATCAAGGATTCAATCAACTCTAGACTGAAAAGACTCTGTGTACTGAGTATGTGTAGATTTATTCCTTGAATAAATACAGTGTAATAACGACTTACACAGCATATATTTTTTGCATCATGCATATTGAGTAACCTGGATATGACTTACAGTATATGACAAAATATACATAGTAAAAATACTGGCTCATTTAAAAGAAAAAGGCTTGGGCGTCTGTTGGGTTATGGTTGGCTCCTGATGTCCTAGAGCCAAACTCCAGTGGATACAGACCATTAAGCCTACCAAGATCTCCACTGTGTTACTAAAAAGTAGAAGAGGCTGGGTGTGGTAGTACATCTCCCTTTACTCCTAGAACTAGGGAGGCAGAAGCAGGTGGACCTCTGAGTTCAACTGAGGCCAGCCTAGTCTACAGAGGGAGTTCCAGGATATCCAGGGATACTTAGAGAAACCTTGTCTTAGGGGTAGGGAGAGTTCCCTTGTTATTGGTATTGCAAACCCTGTTCCAGTTGGAAAAGTTCAGAGATGTTAGGAAGGTTGACAGTTTGTAAATGAAAATTGGGCAAACCACTTGTATGTGAATTCTTTATTTTCAAACGAAAGTATGGTTTCAAAGCAAACAACAGCAACTAGAATGAACTTAGTTGTAAGCATACTTCTTATTTTTTTCAGTGCTGGGCTCTGAGAGTCCTTGCTTATAAGCTGGTCAGTGCTACACTGAGCCATCCTTAGCTGTGGGAGCATTTTTCATCTGTAGATAAATTATTCTCCTAAGTAAATTAACTTTCTCTTCCATAAAAAAAATAAAACAGGGAAAGCTAATACACTGTAAGGAATACACACAAACAAACTGATCACAGTAATAACTTTTTCATGCTGTAACAATAAATCAATGACTATAAAAACCTTGGAATAGTGCAAAGCTAAATAAATGTAATAAAAAGTGAAATGATATAAAAAAACAAGCTTCGGAAATCTGTATTTTGTTTGTTTGTTTTTTTTCTGTAAGATTGTACTGGAATTTGTTTTCACACTTTGGGGAAATTAAATATTTACTGGCTAAGTATTATCACAAGGAAATGGAAACTCACTTCCTAGAAATTCCCAGAGGGGATAGATTAACATGAGAACAGCGAGAGAATAAATTCATATTCTAGAAGGAAGTGATTTGATACTACTCTCCCTGGGACAAGATGAACATTTACATAAGATTCCTGTGACTGAGTTCAAAGGAAAGCACATTAAAAAAGAAAGAGCAAGAAAGGAAGAAAAAGAAAGAAAGAAAGAAGAAAAAGGAAGAAAGAAAGAGAAAAAAGACAGTCCAAACATTTTAAAGCATGTAATATATTTTCATACTATATTCAATACTCATTTTCCTCTATACATAATCTACTTTCATGAGTTGAACTGCCACATTTAATATACTTTAGAGGGCAATTGTGTATATCATGTTAATGGTTATATTTATAGAGCATTTTATACTACTATGAGATGGAGGTATGTTTTTAAGTATTCTGAAGTTCTGAGAACATGTTTTACTTGCTTTTCCCAGAAATCTGTTAAAGATGAAGATCTCCAGCTATCTTAGCCACAAGTTTCCCTTTCATAAACAATGGGATATTCTGCAAATTAAACTAAGATTAACACAGAAGCAAATGTATATCTCAATCAAAGGGGAAAAAAAACCAAGCAAATCGGCCTTCACTGCTCACAGTGTAGATGGAGGTACCAGTCTTTCCCAGAATGCCTTCGATTCCAGATGGCGGAGCCCACGGAACACACGAGGGACATGGCGATTAAGATGCAAAATAAAATCAGAATCTGTACATTTGTAATCCGTTCCACATTGGAGAGTTTAAGTGGCGGACTTGTGGAATTCTGTAAAACAAAACAAGATAAATGGTAAGAACTGCTCAATTTAGTACTGCATACTTAGCAATCGATGAGGGAGACAAAGTCACAGCTCAGGATCTGGACTTGAGCTGAAAACTGTTCCAAATGTAAGACAAGTGTGATAGGGTGCCCATGGCTGCCACCTCTTTTCCTTAAAAGCACCATACCACATGCACCTCTTTCTAGGTTGCAAAACAATGAGAAAAGGGAGGAGGGGTAACATTCGTTTTGCAGGGTGTCAAACAGGTTAAGATATACATGGCTACTTAGACGAATAAAGTCTTTTCACAGCATCTACTCTGTGCCTTTGCTTAGAAGAGTCAGAGAAAAAGGACTACGGCCCTGCAAACGTCTCAAAATCTAAAGGATCTCTGGCGCTACTCAGCAACTGTTTTACTGGACACAGCGGTAATTCAAGTTGTACTACCTATCATTGATAAGAAAGAACTGAGTGTGGCAGCGGGCTGGCTTAAGAGGCAGAGGCAGGAGGACCATGAAGCAAGTCTGACCTACATACGCAGCAGAGGACAAAGAAGGCTCTTCTGCTCTATGTGATGATTCAGTATTTATGCCAGGTCTGTGCTAACCAACCATCCACAGGACAGAAAGGGAAGTCCCTCATAACCAATATAAATGAAGAATGATAGAATTTCTAGCACAACCAGAGTAGGAGCAATCCACTTGTCAATGTTAGCATCTTCACGCCTGTATGACATACAGGGACAAAGGCCCTTTAGAGTGGCACTCCAGTTACTGTTTCCAAGTGAGTCCCCTACACTTGTCACACTATAGACTTGCAGCTTGAATTACAACATAGAGACAAATCCCCCATGGGTGTAAATGGACATCAGGAGAATAGATGGCAAAAACGGCCTTGTACAGAAATGCCATGAAAAAAAGAATAACTGCTAGTTTCTACTTTCCTTAAAAATTTTTTTCATCGCTTCCTGGCCTTTTGGCTTAGATCAAGTGTAAAAAAAAATTTTCAACTCCACCCAAATTGAAAATTTGACCATTGCATTAAAATAAAATCACATGATAAATATTTTAATACAGACAGTGTTACACAGGCAATTTGATGTGAGCATTAGCAGTTGGAAAATGTCATGGATCAACACAGACCACCATTCACTAGGCACTCATGTGTCAGGTGACCTTGGGGAAAGTTTCACGTGTTCCATGTACAGGGAGCTCTTCTCCCAGGGAAGGGATTTCAAAGTCTCCTTTGCTTAGTTCCCAGTATGGGTGTGTGGGATGAGGCTCAGGGATAGCTGATGGCTGGTGTATTCTGTTTGGAACAAGTGCAGCAAGAATGATGAATCATGCATTTCCAAGAGACTTAGTCGTAAAAGGTTTCATAGCTCACCTGCATCAGCTTGGTGTCGTGGCCAGTGTAGACAACTATCCCATGAACCCACTGGGTATTTCTTAACTGAGCACCTCGAAGAAGGATCTGGTCTGCACCCAGTGGAACAGTGCTAGGGCAGAGTATGTTGGCATTAGAAATGACATAGTCCAAAATGGCCTTCATTATATAGTCATTATACAGTTATCAAAGTCCCCACTATTAAAATTTTATTCTTGGGGAAAAAAAGGAAAGTTTTTTTTTTTAAAAGGAAGTATTTTTTTTTTTAAACCAACAATGATACTTTTCAAATATAACTGTTGGGAAGAAGTCGGTTTTTCTTTAACACCATACTGGCCATTTTTTATATCTTTACTCTCCCTGTGGACTACAAGTATCTCCCATACATCCCAATGATGGTGCTCCTTTTCCAGGCTCTTAGTCTTAGGAGAGTTCATGAGGTGAAGCCTTCTGATGTTCTTAGTGCCCTGATAAGACACCTGAGAGCTTTGTCAAATACATAGACACAGAGATGATATTTTTGCCAGATGCAAAGATGGCCATTGTGGAGGTTTGAATAGAAATGGTCCCCATAGACTCACGTGTTTGAATGCTATTGCCCATAAAGGACTGACACTATTAGGAGGTATGGCCTTGCTGGGGTAGATGTGGCCTTGTTAGAGGAAGTATGTCATGCGGTGGTGGGCTTGATGCCAGCTAAGCCTACTGTGGCATTCACTTCTGCTGCCTGTGAACCAAGATACAGAATTCTCAGCTCCTTCTCCAGCACTATGTCTGCCTACAAACCACTATGCTTCCCTATGTCTGCCTACAAACCACTATGCTTCCTGTTATGATGGTAATGGATTAACTCTCGGAACTGTAAGCCAGCCCCAGTTAAATGCTTCCCTTTATAAGAGTTGCCACGGTTATGGTGTCTTTTCACAGCAAAAGAAACACAAACTAAGACAGCTTTCATCAGAATCCGCTCACGCTCCTTTAATTTCATTACCCAGATGGCAGAAAAACAAATTTCAATTGATAAAATTAACTATCTAAGTTTTGTCATTATGAAAGCCTGAGCAAACCAATATAGTATCTCCAATAGCAGGCAATTTTTGGGACTGTAGCTAATCCTCCAATATGAATCTTCTTGAGATCTAAGTTTATGCAAAATTTGAAAATGGTGTGGCTAAGATATCTTTCTCCACTGCCCCCTCAATAAACACACACACATACTTCATTTAAATTAAGAACAACTTTGTACATAACCAGGACTCAAAAACTATACAAATAAAATCATAGCTCGTGTCATATTCTGGTCTACCATCGCCTTTCTGAAATAAGGATCTAGACCTAAAGCCTAATAATATTCATTTTACAGGATTAGTGTATCTGTTTTCCAAGAACGTGAAAACATTCCCAATAAATGGTAATCATCTTGAAGCCATTTGCTTCTTAGATGTTAAACAATATTTTCATGAATAAGACCCATGGTGAGTCCTTTGTGTGCTTCCTCTAAGGCTAGCTTTTGTAGTGAGTTATCAGGTGCTATAAACTCAAACAGAGACTCGAGGGTATGATGGCACAGTATATGTCGCAGACATGTATTGAGTCAGTTGATGGAAATGTACCATCCAAAACGGAAAGGCTCAAGGAACCCTAATAACCAAGATAGGTTTTCATTTAACAAGAAAGTAATGTAAAAATTCAAATATAAAAAAAAAATACACTTAAAACTTCCTGGAAAAGAAGGAAACCATTTCCAATGGAGTTAATAGTGAATATAGGACTTGTCAATCAGTAAAGGCCAAGTGAATCAGGGAAACCTCCATTTCTGGTGGGTTTAGATGGTCCAGTCAGCTTCCAAGGCCGGGGATAGTTTGGGCATTGGACCTTCCTTCAGGAATATATCTTCCAGCTCGGTGAAATCAACCCACATGTGTGGGTTAGAATGGTCCCCTGCAGGAGTCCTCGGTATATTTTAACTCTCATCATTTACATCCCACAGCAGGCTTAGGGTCTAGTGGGATGGGAATGAGGCATAGTCCATTTTGTGTAAGCTTATAAAATGCATGAAGACTGATTATTTTGTATGGAAAAGAGGTTTATTTTGGGATCAGTCTCTAGTCATTTCACTGGGGGCTGAGTTTTCAGTACATGCGAACCCTCCAGGGAATGAAACCATATTGACATCACATAATAACTCTCTTGTATAGGTGTCAATATCTGGAGTGCACATCAGGATTGGGAGGGGCCTGGAGGCTAAAGCAGGCTCCACAAAGTTCTTAGGAAGTTCCTGGATTGTGTTCTAGTGCCCTGTGTACCCACTGCTCCTCACGTATCTGACTGGACTCAGTATCACATCAGATACACATTCCCTGCTCCCCACTGCCTGCTCCTCCTAGAGTCCCTGCCTCATTCACTCATATCGACCTTTCTGATAAAGCATATTGCAAAACTTTAGGCTTTTAAATCTTGGTACCGCCGTATAAAGTTTCCCTTATGGCATGGATTTGCTTGGCACTGATTTAATGATAAGGAATGGAAGCCGGCCAGTTAAAAATGTCAAACTTAAGAAACGATACTCGTACAAATGGCCAAATCTATCATTAGTCTATAACCATATGTTCAAGGAAAGATTACTCTGAAAATTCTAGAATTAACAACTACCTCAACGATCATAAGAATGTGTTTTGGTGGGTTAGATAAGGGTGTCCCATTCAGGGTGCATGTCACATGTCATTTACTTAGTTCCTTACTTAATTTTTTTGTCATTCATATTCTAACAGCGAGAACATTGGTGGCATTCCCCGAGGCTGGGTGAATCAGTGCATCTGGCTGATGGTTACCTCGACAGCACATCTGTCTGGTAGACAATCTTGTGTAAGCAGATGTAGGAGACATTTGATGGCACAGGGTGACACGAAGAATGTGAGTTTACTACATACCCATGTCCGTCAAGCCTTATGTTCCCAACAAAATCATAGAGATGTCGGTTTGGGCTTTCACACTCGATTCTACCAGAAATTCTCATCAAACTGTCAATGTCTTTGATATCCGATGTTGCCGGTAAGCCCTGTTGGCACATTCCCAAGTAAACAGAGTATTTTAAGTTAGTATTGTGAGGGTAGAACACTCTCCAAGCTCTTAGATAAATAAGGAATCTCACCATTCTGCAAGTAATTCTTTCCCTTTACGTAATACTGTCAAACTATAATTTAAGGGTACCTTTCTTATCCATGTGAGCACAGACTTTTAGCACAGAATAATAAGCTTTTATAAAAGTTCTAAAGTATCCAATGTACCACTTCTAAAACTAAAGTCAATATTGGCTACTGTATGGTTTCTGTCTTCTGAGTCTAAAGAAGGGGGTGAAACACAGTAGAGTTTGCATTCAAAGAGAAGAGTTTTGTCTTCTTTCCTCTGTTTCTCCTTCCATTACACCCTCCTTTCTTGAGAGGGAGAACTCCTGAGCAGTTCTTCATTCAGTCAGCTGGAAGAGACTGGCACTGAGGACATCCTCCTTCTTAGCCATCTGAGTTCAGCTCCCTCCTGACGATCCGGTTTTACCTCAGCTCAAACACCCCATTGGCATGGCTGTCAGTCACCAAGAAGCCAAGGGTATGTATGTAAAATAAACGTCCTTTTAAAACTTTATCAAGAAAATGTTACCGCTGTTTTCTGCTGCAGAACATAATATGAAAAGCAAATATAGAAATATAAAGTAATTAATATCTCCAAGATAAAAGTGTTTCTAAAGAGCAATGGACATTTTGGCTGCTCATTATGGCAAACCCAATGCTAACTGGGGCCAAGAAAAACAAGTGAACATGTCAAAGAACTCAGAATACCAGGCACAGGGTAATCCCAGGATTCACAGAGGCAGGTAGATCTCTGTGAGTTTGAGGTCACTGGTCTATATAGTGAATCCAGGCCAACCAGGGCACACTTGAATTCACAGTCTCTCTGTGTTTCTGTCTGTCTTTCTCTTTGCCTCTGTCTCTCTGTCTCTTTGTCTCTATCTAACACACACACACACACACACACACACACACACACACACACAAACACTAGTAAATACTACTACTACTATTATCATTCAAGCACTGGCTATTATACAGAGTAATTAGAATATTATAAGTAATATTTCCCAAGGGGACATACTCAACCAGGAAACTAAATCTGAGTCCCACAAGCCTTAATTCTAAACAGTTAACAAACTATTTTTTTTCACAGTGGTTCAAAGAGAAAATGGTTGTATTTAGACAGAACCCCTTTTAGACAGAGACTTGTAAACACATATCACAGAACAGTGACTATGAGCCGATACATAGAACTTACTTGTCTAATTTTCAAGTTTGTTTCACCATCTAAGTTGGATGTCTCGATGTAGCACATGGCCTGGGGCTCACTGTTGTTCATAATTGAAAAACAAAGAGTTAGTTGGGAAAGGAAGGGAAGGTACTAGCTTATTTAAGTGCTCAGACTCATCGAAGCCATTTATTATAGACAAAGCTATAGTCACCTAGTCTCTTGATGGGTTTCATTCTAATGGCAAGACAGCGTGAGGCACAAACTCATGCACAACACTCACGGATCAGCCTTCCAGCCAGGAGACCCCAAAAAGCCACTTCCTGACAACACTCAGTAATAGTCTTCAAGATAACAGCATGAGGAGCCACACTATTTTAAAACCGCTTATCCATACAGACACACACAGACTGTTTCTGAGAGTGTAAGGCAGGTTTGTGTCCAGATTTAGCTCCAGCTCAGAAATGTCTTGTTTCATGCTCATGACCCACATGTAAATTGGTTATGCAAAATGGTTGATTAAAACCTTCCAGACTGTTCCTTCTACGAGCTGGTACTTATTATCTTAAGTCTTTTAGTTGTGGTCACAAGATCACACAGACCACATGATAGTAAAAACTTAAGGCTACTTTAAAGGATGGATTTTACAATGAAAGTGGACATTACACTTTATATTATCTGGTATATTTAAAAAAAACTTGATTGAGAGGTTGTGTGTGTGTGTGTGTTCATGCATGTTATTTATGGGATGGTGCATGTGTGTGGGAGAGCATACATGCAGATGTGTGGAGGTCAGCATATAAGCTGAGCAGTGGGTCCTTACGTGCTGTCTATGTATTTTTGAGGCAGGGTCTCCCACTGGCCTTGAACTCACAGAGTATACCAGGGCTATCTGGTCAGTGAGCTCAACAGGCCTTCCTGTGTCTATCTCCTTAGCAGTGGACTTACAAGCAAAACACCACGTGTGGGCTTTTTCATTCAAGGTCTCAGAGATTGGACCCAGGTCATCATGTGTACAAGCAAGCACTTTATAAACTGGTCCACCAGCCCAGGCTGACTGAGATGTTCCTAAAGCAAATATCAGCCCACTTATTGGCCATATTGCTCCTTGTCCTAAGCTGCTGCATCTGAGGTTTTATGTGTGGTGGCCCAGAGCCTGTGTTCTCCAGTTGTATTATAGTCATTTCACCTTTTTTTTTGGGGGGGGGGAGGGATGGATACTGTAAATGTACGAGTGTGGCCTGACTGTAAAAATTTAACCCTCAATTCTATAAAAAAAAAAATCATTCTGAAGATAAGCCAAACAAGTATTCTTCAGTTAAACCAATCTCATTATCACTTGGCTACATAGTACGTAGCCTAGTTTCCTATTGAATAAATAACTATAAATAGAAACTAAATTTATAAGTTGAAAGCACTGGAATTTTTTTTAATCAACCTCCAATTTGTACATGTGTGAAATAGACTGCACTAAGTGCCAGAAATGAGCATATAAACTTAATTTTGTCACCTTGAAATTAACAAAAGCTTTACTTAAAGACCTAGACATCCATCAAATTGTATAGATTAATTTTAAAGTAACCTCACACATCCTTCAAGTTTTCCCTCCGAGCTTTCTTTCATAAAGGCTGCTGTTTCCCAAACAGAGAAATCTCTCCATATTAATATTCTCACTCTCAATTATTCCAAAAACAATTTTTTTTTAACTCACAGCCACAATAGTTATTCTCACCCTGGCAACTGTCCAACTTTATAATTTCCATATATTCGCTGGAAACGTAAGTGGCTTCTAAAACTGTAAAACACATTTCTCTGCTAACAAAGAAAAATGGCAACAAACAAAACAGTAACCGAGACCGCCAATTCTTTTTCTCGGCAGAAAAACTCATTAAAATGTTACTGATAAACATACTTATCCAAAGCCAGTCTTATAGTAAAATGAAAGTAACTTTCCAGTTCTAATACTGCCCTCCACACAACACAACTTGTATTGAGCTTCAGATGATTAAGAAATTAGAAAGCTTAAACGGCTGACTTCTTCTACTTGCCGTGAGCCCAGTGAAATACATCCCAATTTGGAGTATTTCTAACAGTGATGTCAGACAGCTGTGGCTGCAGTAGCTCTAAGGGCCGTGAAGAGGCAGCAAAGTCAGGGATCATGCTAGCTCATAAATACTTCAGCATGTCATGATAACATCCAAGACACTAACTACAGTCAGAGGCAAAGCAAGCTTTTTGATTAGTAAGTGGAAAACCGAAACAAGATGCACACCACAGAACAGACACCGGGAGACAGCCGACTCGGATCACAGCAATGCGCATTAGTTCACAAGGTACAGCCGGGATGAAGATGGATCCCAAAGCATGCAGTACAAAATGTACAACATCCAGCCGCGTGCAGGGGTCCTCTATAAACCCTATACAAGCCCAAATTTTAGTCGCAGTTACTGTGGAAATTCCACAGAACTTGTAGACAATTTAAAATATAAGAATAGGAAAATACCCTTAGAATGTAATCGGTTTTCGGTGATTGTCTCCTGAAAAGCTTAACACTGTTCACACACAATATCCTGGAGAGGTAATAACTAAAGCCTTAAAGGCGAGGCATGTTGTTAAAACATATGTGATTTAATGCACATGAAATCAAAATCTCTTGAACTCCTATGGAGAGTAATAGGAGTTGAGTCTGCCCAGCTGAGGGACAAAGCATCCAGCACTAGATCATAAAGTGCCTTTACAATATCTCTGATTCACATCATCTAGAAGATGATACGTTTGTGCTTTCAAGGAAGAGATCCAGCTCAACCGCATTTGGGTGCAGTTGTTCTTTGGTTTAAGGTGAGGACCCACGTACACACACCCTGTACCACTCTGTGGTTCTGACCTTGAGGACAGACTGATGAGATCTGCTGGGAGATGCTCCCCATTGGTCACCTTCACTATCTCCCCCACTGCCACCTACATGTCCCAGTTTAAAAGAATTAAAATGGGGGGGGGAGAAACGAATAACAGAGAAAATAAAAACCAAACAAATGGACAAAAGAGACAGAAGGTTTGAAATTGTTATAGAACAGGGTTCATGTTAATAAAAATGTCTAATGCCGATTTTTTCAAAACTTATTTTGATCAGGCCTGAAGGGAAATGAAAATATTTAATATTCAAAGGTCACTTATTTGATTTTTAAGCTGCCCAATTTTCAATTTCTAAAGTGAAACTTTAGCATTTTAAAGTTTACATATAAGCATTTATCAAATTAAATAAAAACATTATTTATAGAGTTATTTTATTGTACAGATTTCCTTTCCTTAAACTCCTCAATTTGCTATGAACTTTGTTTACTCCTAGTAAATCAGAAAAAAAATAAAGATTCTAAAACAATTGGTTAGATATTTGAAAAGCAAGTACATCTGGCCCCTCTCTCATACACTACGAAAGTCAATTTGTTCGGACTCCAAAAATGTTTTCAAAGCTGACTGCATCCCTATCCTATTATCTTTAGTGGAAAGCTGCACAGATGCCTGCCTGTCTTAGGCAGTTAGAGGCCATGGCTGCACCAGTTGAAGTGATTTAAGAATTAATAAAGTATAAATAACACATTGTGGTTCGGAGAGTATCGGAGGGTAAGCCTTTGTATCCGGAGATATATGAAAGTCATACCAAGAATTTGCCCTGGATTCCAGTTAGAGCCGCAGCTGCTCTCTTGCATGTTTCTGCCACACAAATGTACTCGTGGCTACATGCTAACACTCAGTTTGCTCATTTCAGATTGAAAGTCAATGAAAAATAGAACTGGTAATGATAGTCCTACTTTAAGTAAAGCCAATAAGCTAGCAATTCCATTTTAGAAACTCTCTGACAAAGCTGTAGACAAAGGTAACTAAGTCAGACTTAAAAAAACAGTCATTTGTGCTACATAGAGACGCCAGGTAGGGAAATCAAAACAGCCTGTGTTATTTCAAACACTTGAATACCTGTTTCTATAAATAGCCAAGGGATGACTGCTTTCCAGATTATGCTTCACTAGCTTGTAAAAAATCCGATCATTCTAAATCATGACCTGATTAAATAGATTTTGAAAAAAAGGACACTGTCCATATTTTTATGTGGATTTTACAAATCAAACTGTCCAAGGAAATGATGATAAACAACCTCAAGAACATTAAAACACATTTCTTCTTTGTTTATTTTGGGACTAAAATTGTAAGGTTTTTAAATCCTAAATTTATACAAGGACTAGTGTGATAGTTTTTAATCCTAAGGCCATATGTTCTGAATACTGATTCACAACTCTTCTTAAAATGTGAATGCAACAAAAATTATCTACATTTAGTAACAGAAAGGACTCGAAAGGAAGAATAAAGTTCTAAGTCTGGTGGGAAAACTGTGTCATATGGAAAGGCACAATGACAATAAGAAATCACCCATCCATTCTCTTGTCTCATTTCACCACGAGGAATAGGTAAGTTAGCAAGAGAGATGACAGCACAATAAAGGAGTTTGTTATAAATGAAGACCGAAAGGAGAAAAAGGCAATAGAGCCCAATCCATGGATGGCATCATATAAATGACAGGGACTCATAAACAGAGTTAGTGGTCCACACACACCACACGGATCTGGATGGAGCCAGGGGAAGAGGAGACTCTGAAGTTTGGGTTATGTAGTACCTGATACTTATTCTATATGGCACACATGACGCCAATCAGTTTTGTAAATGCTTAATTAAGAATCATGAGAGGTTTGGAAACTCTTCGTTTATTCTTTATTTCCTTGGAGAAATCACAAGGTCAATGCAGGGTAGAGAAACCATCCTCTACACTGTTTGAGCATCAGTAGGTGTCTCTACCTTGACGAGAGAAGGACAGTGTCAGCAGGGATATACTCTTTGCCTTTTATTATAACTATATCTCCAACATTTACCTGAAAGAAAACTGGGAATTGGTTAATTATCTGCATGGAAAGATAGTAAAATATATATATATACAACCCATTGTATTAATGCACAGAATTTTTTTAAAAAGTTCTAATCTTCACAAAAATGGCATAAAACTAGAGGTGAATGTGTATTTGTTTTTACCTGTTATTTATCTTAATAAAATGTATTGATCAATTCTACATCTTTGACTGACATCTCGACTTCTTAAATGCTCTTTCTTTGACATAAAAATAAGAAGGAGGAACCCGCAGTTAAAACCTCTCCCTAAGACTTAAGGAAGTCTCCATACAAGAAGAAATCTTATCTGTGATGACTGTTCTCCACAATGACCCTTAAGGACAATGCAGTCACTTTAATTTATAATTTAGAAAGGAAGAAAACTTCTAGGATTCTAAGTTTCTAAGTCACATATGCAGGATGAGTGGAAAAGCTGAGACTCAAATATACATCTACTTATATCTCATAGCCTGATTTTTGCATAAATATAATGAGACTATCATTATTCAAATAACATAAACTGCAACTTTTCGTTATTATATAGTTGCATTTTTTACCCTTGAGTATGGTATGAAGGTAAATTAAAGTTCTGCGGTGGCCGGAAACTACTGGGAGTAATTTGTCAGGGCTCTTACTGCTTTGGGCAAATAGCTTTTGGCAAGCAGTGCGTCTCCAACTCAGCAACAAGCTGGCCCTTAGTGGGAATCATTATGGGGAACTACTGCAGACGGGGTCACTGCAGCAATTTTATCTATTGGGAGAAATAGCGATGGAAGGCTGTAGAGAGGCAGCTTATAATCTCTGGTATGTATGCTAGTTGCCCATATACATATATATATATATATATATATATATATATATATATATATATATAGACACTTCAGTTGAAACCGGCCGTGTGGATTACTGAAAAGTATCCCAAATACTACTGATACTGGAAGCAGTGACCTCTGCTTGGCTCAGTGAAGAACTGGCCTTTGTGTGGTAAGATCAACAGGGCCAGATCCATCTGTTTCAAGAGATACAGCTTCTTGAAGGGGGGGAGGGGTTGGGGCTTTGCCATGGCAATGCTTTTTTAAAAATCAGATTCTTGAAACTTTGTAACAGAGAAACCACTTCATGGCAATCTGGAGCGCTAGGTTGCTAACATCTGAGAGCTCTCCTGCTGTTCTGTGGTGACTCGCTGCTGACAAATCCATTAAGTCTTCTGAGGAATATTACAAACATCCACGTGCTAAGAACTGCAGTGAAAGTACCAGGAAGCAAAGTCCATTTGCAGGAGGGTGTTTTCATATCACAAGGGCATGCGGATGACGCGACTGGTTTGAGTTTATTAAGCTTAGTTTTCATTGTACAAAGTTTCACGTGAACCAGGGACAAGACCTGTTCCAGCAACATGGCCAAGCCACCAAGAAAGCCTGCATTTGTGCTGCTGCTTGCTCAATACACTTTTTTTTTTCATGGCTGGCAGCTCAGTCGCACAGGCCTATTCTTTTCACTTGTAATTACATTTTATGATATAGGAGCCACTATATGTTTTGTAATCGGCTATGAGCTCACTCATTGCTCGGCACATACATTTAATAAATATTTATTAGATGAGTATATAAATCTTTGTGGCATCGTGGTATGTAAAATCAAAGTTTTACTTGTAAAATATGAGGTCAGACCATTGTAATATACTTGTCTGTTCTCTAGTGTGTGTGTATTCATTTTAAAGATTATAAAAACATTTTGAATATGTAGACTTCCTCACGCTTTACAACTACTGAAGAGATGGGGTATAAATTACCAGAATCTTCTATATGGTTTTCATCGTGAGCAGTCACACTATTAGACTGCAAGTATACTGATATAGTATAAAATAAAAATTCTGGAATACAAGTTTCTCATATTTGACCATGAATAAAACATCAATTATATTTTAGTTTGAACTTTCTGTTGTTTGATTAGCCATGATACCAAGTCTAGTTGATATTCCTTCTTGCTTATTATAGACTTCATTTTTTTTGTTTGTTTAAAGAATAACAACCTAAATCTTTTGTCCCATTTGATACAAATATTTAATATATTCCTCAGTTATCTGTGGCATCTTTTATATAGGTTTGAAATTTATATAACCACGATCATGAGATATTGATGTATGCCGCATACTTATTAAAATCTTCATTCTATTAATGCATATTTCAGAACAGCATTTTAACACTTAACTCTTTTAGCCAGATGGAATTTATGCTTGCACAAATCATGCCTTAGATGTAATGTAAACATTCAAGTACTAGTTCTTGACCCTGCCAATCTCCAATTTTGCCTCACTTAGCAAATACTGAAGCAGCCTCATTTCAGGACACTGGATTCTTCTCTGTTTTATCTGTTAATATCTACTTTTGAAATAGATTTTTAATACAAATATTATATTAGTAATTTGAAATAAGCAATCTCTTGTTTTTAATTTTGAAAGAACAGATATATTTATCTGCATCTCTTTTGGGGGGATGTGTGAGAGACAAGGTCTTACTATATAGATCAGGCTAACCTCAAACTTGAGGCTCTTTTCCTGACTCAGACTCCTGAGGTGTGTTGGGATTACCGATATGTGCTATCATACCATCCTCACTTATGTAAATATTTAACATCTAGAGAACACCTGCTTTCTTCTCACAGTTCACATAGATTTTGCTTGTAAGCATTCTACCTATCATGAGGCCTTTCCTGTGTTTCCTAACAGTATTGCCAACATCAAAAAATTGTTAACTTTTGCATGTCTATCTTGAATTCATCACTGAACCAACTTTACGAATGTAACTATCTAGTTATAATTACTAAAATTACTTCAGCTCTTTTTAACTGGGTGGCTTTTGGACAATACTCTAACTTCTATCTTTTCATATCATAATATGGGATATGCACATTAAGTGTAGCCTTGATCTCAAGAATGGCTAACAATACGATCAATATAGGCAACCACAGTTGGGGATTTGTTATCTCTGTCTATTAAAAATTCTAAAATGAAAGTTACAATAATCTATGTACAACAGTACAACCTCAAAATAATGGTTGCCATGAAGAAAAGCTGAAGGTTAACTTTACAATGGAGCAAAAGAGAGTTACTTCTTGACTTTGTATATTACCTGAGCAAGATGTCTAGGTAAGAAGGAAAAAAAAAACATGATATATCAATTTTCAAAACTGTGTCTTTCTGTTAACTATATTGACAACCCATGCACCCAAATTCAATAAATTGCATCTGAATATATCCCATCTGTCTTCTCTGGAAAACATTTAAGTCCACAAGTAGCGGATGAACGCATAAAAACATAGCATTCCTGAAAGTATTTCAGATGTTCCATTTTGTACTTTATTCTTCTGAAACAGAACTGACTACTACAGAAATCCAGCGTGATAAAGGTATTTTCCTCCTTATTATTCTAATGTCAAAGACCAGAAAGCAGAGAGATGTGAATTCCCAGATCTCTAGAAGAGGAGATGTCAGTTCTTAGTCTAGCTAGTGATTTTAAAAAATATATCAACAAATAATTACTTTTTTGGTTTATATTATTATTATTATTATTATTATTGAGATCCTATCCCTTTACTGACAGAAGGTGACCACAAATGTCACAAAGGAGAATTATGCGGATGGACTTCAATGGAGCATAAATGAATTGGCAATACACAACAGTTTTATTGTCCCAGTAAGATAATGTCCTGTGAGAAATATATCTGGTGTCCACTGCCCTGGCCTCCAAGAAGCCATCTAATGGCCACTGTGGATGACTGGGGAATGTGTGTTCTGGAACTATGGAGGAACTACCAGTTGTCGTTGCTTACCTTATGTAAGTAATGGCTACAAGAAGAGATACCTGGATAACGCTTGCCAAATTGTGACTCCACTCACAGTGCCATGGTGGAGTTCCTAGCTAGCAGGTCAACCTCTGAGGCATAGAACTGACTTCTGCTTCGTTAGAGAATGGTGTTTAGTTTACATGACCACTTGTCTTTAAATAGTGGGAAAATGTAAATGTGGTGATTTCACTATATGAGTTTGAACTGAAACATGCAGATGTGAAATAGCAGAACTTGAATCTCTTTTACTTGGACAGTAGATGATCAAAACAAAATTTACAACACAAAATAAATAAAATCTACAAAGGAGCACTCAAAATATACTGTGAAACAAAAAAATGTTCTAGATGGTACTTTCCAGAAGAATAGCCTTCCTGGAAGAGTACAGAAATGCTCAGCATATGTAGCTAAGTGAAGGCTTCATGAATGTTTACAGTAATTACTAAACAGCTTCCAGATTAGTAGAGTTGTTGACATTTGCTTATAATATATACAAAAATTATGCTATAAAGTACACATCTACGCATTTCTTCTGGATTAAAATAAAGCCAATGCATACCTTTTCCCAGTGGACAATTTCCCAAGCACCATTTCTCAAAACTGCAAAAAGAAGAGAGGACATTTTAAAGAACATTTTTTTTTTTTACTACCAATCACAAGGTTCTACCTAATGAAATGATTATTTTAAATGAATAGCTTCTAATGCAATGGCCAGCAGCAATATTAGAGCTTTAAAAACTCGCTGTGACAGCAAGGAGCATAAGAGGAAATAAAAACTTCCAATTTCGATTTCTGCTCCTGCAGTGACTTATCTCTAACTCACAGCGGCCTCACTGGAGTGGCCTCGTGCCTCTGCCAAGACACAGGGGAACCTCAGGGTTGAGTAGGGGTTGGGGGCTCGGAGGTTTGGGGGGGGGGGAACTGACAAATTAAGTTAAAGGAAAAAATGACTAACCTACCTCCATTTTCTAATGACAACCATTATCCTGAGGTGGTACTAGTGTACATGGGTTATAGTAATTATCAATTTTAATCTTGACAAAGACAAAACAAGCAGGAACATCACAGATTTTTAATTAATAAGACTTTAATACAAAGAAGAAGCAGAAAAAAAACCACGGTATTATTAGCTCTATAATAATACAAAAACATTCCATGTTTAGCTTAGCAGAAAAAGTGAAAGAAGCTATTCTTAAATTATTAGATGAGTATTTTATAGTGGACTTCCTGCTTCATTGCACAGTGCATTTACTCAGTACCTCTGTTACTCAGTACCTGTTACTCAGTACCTCTAACCCACCCACTCTAGGTTTGTGATATAATCCTGAGCACAGAGATGCACACCAAACTCTGAAAACAGTACAGGTGAGGTAGGAAACACTGCATTTAGGACATTAAAAAACAAACAAACAAATAAACAAACAAAAAAAAAAACCAAGGCCCAATGATAAATGACACAGACATTAAATCCTTGAGGGCAAAGCCAAGGTTTGCTCTGACATTAGAAACAGGACAGCACATATACAATGTGAAATTATAAGATAAGCAACTAGTAGCAAACATTATATGACATTCAGTTTCTGTCGATGTTAGAAGGGACAGAGTTGGAACCCTCTAGAAAAGTCATGAGAACAAGCTCACGACATTAAACAGCAAACCCAACATTAATTCCCCATGACATTTTAAAACCAGCACTCTAGTATACAGTCTTTAAACCTAGATATAATCTGTGTATTCCAAATTCTCTTATAAGGCTTATGTCTTACTCAGATCTTTATTTTTATTGTCTGAAACTTCTGTCACATAAGACATCAGATGCTGACAGAAAAACAAATGCAAGAATAAACACCTTGCACGGCATTCTGTTGAGAAAACTTTATTAAAATTCAAGTGGAAGGCTAAACCTAAAGCATGTCTAACATACTAGCATTGTGACTGTATGCATGTTAAAATTCTTATTTTTATACTACTCAAGCAGATAGGGGCCAGGGATCTGAACCATACACATTCAGAACAGTATCTAGTCTGTAAAACTCTAAGGACAGCAGAGTACACCCAGCTGATCCCAGGAGGAAGGCTGTGATTCACCAATGTTCACAGAGTACCAGGAATCCAGAGGACACATCTCATAGTAAAAGCCTAGGCTTTCGCTGTGCCTGCCCATGCTTCTAATATCCATCCCAGAATGGTTTGTTACCATGAATCAAGATTAATGGAGGAACATGCTGTCTGTTACTCATAACCTACTAGGAAAAATGTAAATGAGTATCTACAAGACAGGCAGCCAAGTGTTGTCCACGTGGATGCTAACTAGCTTAACTGACACAATGTTCGGGCAAAAATACTTGGAGATTTCTTTATTGAAATGTATTCCCTTCAGAGCCTATTTCGTATTAAGCAAACACTTTTCCAAATACAATAATGATCCCTTTATTACATGTGTATATGTGTACACGTGTGTGCATATGCATATGTTTGGATGTGTGGGAGTATACATATGTACATATGTATACACAGGAAAGTGTGTGTGTGTGTTTATGTAGAGGCCAGATGTTGACATCATGTGTACTCCTCAATTGCTCTCTACCTTATCTTCTGAGGCACAGTGTTTTGCTGAACCTGGAGCTGGTGTATGTAGCCAGCTGCCCTGCCCTGGAGATTGCAGGTGGGCTATGAAGCCTACCTGACTATAATACAGGTTCTAAGATCCCTAGCCCTGGCTTTTGTGCTTTCCTAGCAAGTGCTCCAACCATTGAGCTATCCCCAAAAGCCTTACTGCTGTTCTTTCATTGTGGTTTATTCATTTTTAAACCACTGTCTAATATTTCCAAAAACAATGAAATCTGACATGAAAATAAAGGTGTTCCGCGGTGCAGAATGAATGTTCTGAAGATCAACTGAATAGCACAGTAACTGTCGTTAACACACGCTGTACCTGAAGATTGAAGAAAGGTTAGGTCTGAATGATCTTCACCAAAGAGAGCCATGGGAAGGGATGGACGTGTTAATCAGGCTGATGTAACTCACCACAATACACACACATACAATCCCCTGTGGACATTGCTATTTCAGGAGCATTCCTCCCACCAAGACATCACAATCTGCAGATGCTTAAAGTCCTGTCCATAGAAAATAGGATTTACATACTACCCATGCACATCCCCCTAAATAATTTAAATATCTAGGTTATTTAGATTGTCTAATGCAACGCAACTACTAGACAACTATTATTTCATAGTCACTAGGATATGATGGTAAGAAAAATGTCTGCACTCACTCAATGCATACACAATTCCTTTTAATAGTTTTGACCTGAGGTGGTTTGGATCTGTAACTGTAGAGCCTATTCGTACAGAGGACTGACTACATAGCAAAATGTAAAGTGTTATAAATATATACTGATAAATGTAGAAATGTATGAAAGTTTGCAAAAAAATAGAGCAATGACTATCATATATTAAGAATTAAATATAAAACACACAAGAAGAAGATAAAGCATTTTAGCTTTTCTGGAAGCTATCTCTAAGGTGAGGCTACCTTGGGTTGAATACCATGCAGTGACGGTGTGAACAGCTCCTTATAGAAACTCAGAAGCCTTCCACTACATTCATGGTTTCCTGCTGGCTCACACCTGGCCCGCTCCCCTCTGTTACAGGATCTGCCTTGCTCATCCTCGTGAGACTTTCCTTCCCAACTGAAGTAAAACTTACAACACATCTTAAGTCTTCTAGTCAGCGAGCTTTGAAAAATGTGAATACCCATGTGTACACTTCTAGCAAGTCAGAAGTCTCTAGAATGGTTCCCTGCAATCTCCATCCCTCAAGGCCCAGAAGCCAGTGTCAGTTGTGTGCCATAGGGTGGTCCTGTATTTCACACACAGCCTTCCCTCTGTATCTACAGGCTCTAGTTTGTGGATTCAACTAATTGTGGCTACAAAATATTAAAATGAAAAAAAACCACACAAAGCAACTATGGTTATATAGAATATTACAGACATTTAAAAAATCATTATTTTTTTCTAACCAAGATAGACATTATAATTCTTTATGTAGTATTTGTATTGAATTAGGTACTGTTACAATTTTAATACAAGATATCCCTATAGGCTCATAGTTTGAAAAGCTGATCCCAGCAGGGAGTACTGTATTAGAAGACAGAATCTAAAGGGAGGAAGAAGGGAACTACTTTTTTTTTTCTTCCTTTGAAGGTTACACTGGGTACCTAGTCTTTTCCTCTCTCTCTCTGCTTCCTGTCTGTCACCAGCTCACACTCCAGCCGCCATGATGCTCTGCTCAGGTCCTTGGCGCCAAGTGGCCGTGGACTGAACCTTCTAGAACCACCAGCACTATTTCTATCGTACAATTTATTACAGTGGGGAGACGTAACCAATAACTGTATTATAAGTAATCCAGGGATGACCTAAGGTATCTGGGGGATTGTTTACAGGTTATATTTAATATGTAAGCATTTTGTATGGAGACTGGAGCACCTGGGGAGCTCCCTGTCTTAGGACCAGGATCTCAGAACTGTTCCCCAAGTGGACAGTGACGGGTGCTGTATGTGGCTCCTACTCCGTGTACCTTTGTATCCATCTTCTGTCCAGATATCTGAGACTCTGAGTCAAAGGTCTTCCTCTGCCTCAGTGTGCTGACGCAGCACTGTGACGGGCTGACCTCTGACCCTGCATTTACCCCATCAGGCTGCTTTCAGGTCCTCATGCCACTATACACTGTTGCAATTACTGACACTTTACGGAAAAATCTCTGAGGTAGTTACTCTAAGTCACCTAACTTGTCCTTTTGTGATGGTAATTTGACTGTTTTAAGTCCTTTATATCATATAAAATTTATAAATTCATACAATTTATAAAGTTTTAAAACATTATTTTGCTCGCTCCTTCCTTCTTTCCTTCTTTCCTTCTTTCCTTCCTTCCTTCCTTCCTTCCTTCCTTCCTTCCTTCCTTCCTTCCTTCCTTCCTTCCTAATATACATATCACTATAAAGCCCATGTTGATCTTTACCTTGAAAGCCCCTGATTCAGCCCGCTGAATGCTGAAATTGTAAATGTTACCACCAAGGCTGGCTGAATGGTCAACTTAAGAAAAATGTACAGGAATATTTTATCTACATTTATGTTTGTGTACCATGTGCATGCTTGGTGTACAAAGGTCAGAAGAGGGCTTAATGCCCCGGAACTAAAGTTACAGATGGTTGTGAGTCAACATATGAATGCCGGAAATTGAACCTGGGTCCTCCGGAAGAGCAGTGTTCTTAACCACTGAGCCATCGCTCCAGCCCTTGAGCCATCAGTTCTTAAAACATAACACACATACACAAACACAACCAAACAACAAATCCCTTTTAAACTTTGATTTGGAGCTCAAATCTTTTAATTCATGGTTAAACCACATCTGTCCACTTACATATGTCTCCACTAATTCTCTTAGATATATACTCAAATTTTTCTGTTAATTGGTCTTCCATAAGTTTTTCTGATATTTAATTTCTTTCTTTTTTAAAATGATGACTTAAATTTTATTTTAAATCAGTTCCTGATAATATATACAAAGCTTTGGCATAATCGTCTTTTTATCTAAAAAC